AAAAAAATGACTAGAATCACAATGGAACTGAAAAAAGAGATTGTTGAGAAATATGAAGGTGGCACGCGTGTTCGAGATTTAACAAGATTTAACTGTTGCATTCAGTATTCTGAGAATGACGACATCGACAATCGTGAAAAATAAAGACATTATTAAATTTGCTAACGTTGCGAAAGGGGTTAAATCAATTTCTAAACAGAGATCGAAGACATTAGATCATGTCGAGAAATTGCTTTTGCTTTGGATAACTGAAAAACAGTGTGCTGGCGACAGCGTATCGGAAGAAATTATTTGCGAGAAAGTTAAAAGGATACATGCTGATCTCATGAAAAATCAAGCAGAAACTAGCAAGGAAAGGGAGGTGTTTAAAGCCAGCCATTTTTTTTACATGAGAATGGATTAATTATTTTACATTACTTCTTATGGAAAAGGTTGGTTTGGTATACGTCCTATTTGGTATAAGTCCAAACACCAGGAACGGATTAAGGTTCTATACCGAGGTTCCACTGTATATTTAAATAATTAGCAGTAAAATTATGATTAAGAACAATTGCTTTAGTTTTTTACAAAATCAAAACAAAACAATTCTTATTTAGTATAAATATTCAGAATATCAACACAGATTTGGTGAGAAAATTAAAGAATAAAATTAATATTAGAGATACAACATATACATAAACACAGCTTTAGTATAAAATACATAAGAAATGAATATAAATGCCAATTAAAACATAAATATGTTTAATTATTTTAAAAGTTTTAAGAGTTTATAAATAAATTAAAAATAAAAAACTACTTAAAAACCCCCATAAATTAATTAAAAAGAGACATCAGTAAAAAAAAAAATACTGTAATTAAGTTTATATTTTGACAAGTTGCATTAGAACTTTTTAAGATGTGATTTAGAAAAGTATACTTTTTTAAACATCTTATAAAAATGTCTAAATTTTGATTTGGGGAAGTTTTATTTTCATCATCTTATACTGCTGAAGGATTTTCAAACTAACATGTAAAAAATAAATATGGAATAATTTATTTATATTTCTTTAAAGTCATTTTTAGAATTGTTGTCTAAAATCAATCTGTTTAAATCTATATGATGAAAGTTGTTTCTAGAAGCTTTTTAAATTTAAAATGTAAATCAAATAAGTTGTTCATATTAAACTTTAAAATTTCAAAAAACAAATTTAAATTTTAGGAAAATACGGTATATATAACTAAACATATTTATTATATAAAAACACAAAGAAATATTACTCAATTCAGTTATTACAACACAAATGTAATTTTATTACTATTAACTTAATAATATTACTTTGAATTGAGTAATTTAAAATCATTAATAAAATTAAGAGATTTAGCAGTTAAATAAAATGGAACAGTATAAGAATTACAATCAATTTTCCACATCATATAATTTTAATAAATCTTACTTGATGTTCTAAAATTATTTTCTTTTTTATAGTCATGTGAGGAGAAATTAAACTGATCTTCTTTTTCTGTTGAACCAAACGACATTGATATGTTGCATAGATACCCACAGCACTAATGAAAATTGAAATTACAACTGATACGATAATCCATATTGATGTATAACTAATATTTCCAGATAGATCATTGTAATGTGCATTATCCATTTCATTTTCAGCTATATTAACAACAAAATAAACAATGAGTTATAAGTAAAATATAACCATACATACACATGCATAATCATATGTATAATATCAGGTAACAAAAATAATTTCATTTTTTCAAATATGGAAAAATAGCTATATTTTTTTTATTTAAAATAATTAGAAACAAAAATATTCCTAATATTTTCTTGTCCTACTGGCACTCCTCACTGCCTTTCTACATTTATCCCTGCAATTATTGAACAAATTCCTGTCCAGCATAAAAACACTTTTGAAAATAACTTCAAGTTGACATTCTTTCATCAATTTCCAATTATTTTTTTAATTTTTTGTTAACAGAAAGATTACTTTAAATTAAATTTTGGTCGGGAGGAATTATATTTGTTTTGAATAAATTGGCACATAAATAAAGAACTCTTACAGGTAGGTAAGAAAGAAAAAAAAAAAAAAAAAAGAAAACCACATTTGATTAAATATTGTCAACTTAATTTGCATGCAGAAATAAATACTTAACTGTAAAGATATTTATATGAAAAAATGTCACATACCAAGAAATTTTCTAAGTTACAATAATAAATTTTACATAAATAAATTTATTTGCTCTTTCATTTCTCCTATTTATTTCTTATTTAACAATAATTTTTTCAGCAAATATTTTGCTGTATACAGCTAGTTGTTCAGATTTATCCAACTTATTTGTGTGTTCATATCAATTTCATGTTTTTTTTTTTGTGTAGAAATTAGCCTTGCATATCAAGCCCTGCGTTTCTTTATGCAGTGCTCGAGAAGCGCTTTACAGCAAACACACTGAAACTGGTTTCTAATTGGACAACACTGCTCATGACATCATTTCGCTACACTCTTGCTTCATAAAGAAATACGGCCAAGATAAGTTGTCATAATTATTTAAAACAAAGTTGTTGTCAGGAAAAATTAATAGATTAAGATTAATCACTTAACATTTTACTTGTAAAAAAATAGCATGTTTAAATAATTTTAACTGAAAAATGAAAGACTTACGGGAAAGAACTTCCAACCAAACATTCCGGTAACTACTTCCTAAAGTATTAGTAGCTATGCAAGTATACCATCCTGCATCATCATATGTAACATTTTCAATTATTAACACATTAGGATTGGGCACAGTATTATTCTGAAATTTTAACAAACATATAAAATCTTATATTATTTTTGGATTCAAAATTTATCTATCTCACTTACCATTTATTTCCAGATAGCAAAAATATAATAAAACAATTATTTAATCTTTTATTGCAAGATTTAATTTTTTGATTTCATATGATTAAAAAGTGCATATATTGAATTATAAAATGTTTAGTCATAACCAATAAGCAATGTTAATTTACAAGTTCAAGAAAAGAATAATAATCTATGTTTTTGATTTTTGTATTATCAATATGCAATTTTTATTCAATAATGAAGATTTTTTCACTTTGCTAAAATAAATTTACTCAAATCAAAATTATTACATAACTCCAATAAAATATAAAAATTTTACCCGTAATATTTTCACATAAGGCATTCCATCATCATCCCAGGTGCCATTAATACTGTAACGCTTTACCCACATCACAAATGGATGAAATCCACTTATAAAAAGACATTGAAATTTAACTGTTTCACCCAAATAAGCAGTTTTATTGGATGGATAATTTTCTTTAAAAATGGGTTTATGTGGAACAATTTCTGTAATTAAAAAGTCATTTGAATGAATATAATTATTCAAAATGAACATAATCAACAACTAGTATATTTAAAAGTAACTTAAAAATATGTAAAATTGAAAATAAATGTTAAAAACTTCAATGCATTTAAATAACTTTTCATAATGAAAAAAAATTTTTCAACGAGATCTGAAAAGTAATTATGTTCTATATACATATTTAAATATATGAATTTATATGTAATATTAAAGAAGTCTGTCTCTGATTGTTTTTGTGGCATGTTTCCCCAAGTTTTTTGAAAATATCTTAGTATTAATAAGCAGTAAAACTCACACAGTGAGTTTTACTGCTTATTAATATTAGTTGGCATGAACAACATACTAATCTATATCTTAGTATGTTCCATCATTCAACTTTCAAAGCAATGACTAGTTAAGCTTTGTTCTTAGAGCAATCTCTTCATGCACACATACATAATTCAATTTGTCCCAGATATTCCCTATAGGTCAGGATTCCAAACTGGTCAGCCTAATTTTCAATGTGTATGTTCTCAAAACCAATCTAACAACTTGATATGGTGTGTTGTCCTGGTGATAAATAAAGGCCTCTCCCAAAGAGTTAGAACAACATTTGTATTGCATAATTGTCAGGACATCTAGGTATAGTCTAACATTAACCTTTGTTCAAAATGACTAATAGGCTTAAGCCAAATCATTATGTTGTTTCTGTTAAACTTAATTATTAGAACATTACTTATCTTCTGCATCTGTCACGTGCAGAAATGACCCTCAGACTGCAAATTCATGATTATGAGTCATCTATCCAAAACATAAACTAATGGAAAAATATGGTGTACAATTGGTATATGGTTCAAGATCAACACTTCACACATGATGCTAATCAGCATGTGTCATTAGTTGTATGATTAACCTCTTATGGACAGCTGCACATCCATAGTAGCCCTGATCACACAGCATTTTGTGCATTTTATAGTTGCACACATTAGTTCCAATAGTCTACATAAGTTGAGTGACTAGAGAAATTGCTTGAGTGCTTAAGGAAACTATATTAAATATTTAAGAAAACTAATAATTTTTATTTTGTCGGGATGGAAAAATCGTCTGGCACTCAGTTTTCCCGCTTTTTTATGAACAACCGTTGTCGCCATAGAAATGGCGATCAGACCATTTTGAAGACTCGACCGCTCATTGGTTAAAAGACATCAGACCATCGGCGGACGTCTTATAGAGCTGGTAAATGCTGATTGGTGGACTCCAATTCTGTTTCAATCCTATAAAAGCATTGAAGTTCTGGCGGGAAGATCAGTTTGCTTCGGACATAGGAAGTGAACTCACGCTGACCTGAGTTCGCCTAAGCTGTTGTAGAAGATTGCTTCATCTTGTTGTATTGTTGTGGACTTTGAATTTGTGCGTCGCAAGGTGCTTTTCCGACGGACCTGTTGCAGTGGATGATTACCTTGAACTTTGTTAATATCTAATGTTTGTAATTCTTATATGTGAACTTTAATTGTAACTGTACATACGTTTATTTTCAATATACATTAAGTTTTTAAATTTAACTGACTCTGAAGTATATTTGAACTTGACTTATTTATTTGAGAAATGCTGGTATTCCAATTCCAACAAATACATTAAAGTAAAATAAACATGTAATGTAGTTAAATCGTTATTAATCTTATTTATAAAACACCAATAAAGAATTGCAGAGTTCTACAGTCCTTTAAAGAAATCTCTGTAATGTTCTGTTAGCTTCAGAGTTTACTGGATCATTTCTTGACAGATTCAGTCCTTTTCACTTTATATTTGCATATCATATCATTTAGTCATTCATTTTACTTACAGAAAAGTACAGAATGCACTCCCAGTTTTTCAAGGTATTGCTGGCATTAATATCAAAGATTGTATACAGTACACAATAAATAAAAGTATGTAGAAAAACAATGAATGAAATACAAAATCAAAATATATAAATGTACAAAAACATAAATACATACAGGGAAGCAGAATACAATAGTCATATACAAAGTGCATGTCACTTCAGCAAAAAAAAGTTTGCCAAGGAGAAAAATTAACTTTTGAAACATGGCCTTTGGAACATTATCAAGGATCATTCAATATGCACTTTCACCAAGGATACAAAAGAAAAACAATAGCTAGACTTAATCAATCTATGGCCAATGATGCTTTCCACAAAGTTGATGATGTTTCTTTGTTTCCAACAGTACCTACATTCAAACTTACTATGATTATCAAAATTATACTTTTAAATAAAAATTTCTCCTACATGTCATTCTATGGGTTAGAGGGGCAATTGACCTCATTGTTACAACAACTATTTTGTATACACACTATTCAATTACAGAAGCAAGACCTAGGATCATTGGTCCCCTTTATCCTATGAATTAGTAGAACTTTTAATGCAAAATTTAGAGCATAAGATATTCCTTGTTTCCATAATATACCCAGCATTATATACCTCATTTATGCAAATGACATGCTCATAGCATAGGAACTTGTGATAAGTAATGCTTTTGTTTGTAAGCTCAATAGTATTTATCTCTCCATCAAATTTAGCAGCTGAAACTAAAACTACATAAAATCATCTTTTTAGATTTATCTATTTTTTGTAGTGTCAGTAGCTTGGCATACGACATATACTCAAGTTTAATGCCTTATCTATCATCATCTGTGTAACTTTCCAACTGCTAAAATACAAGAATATGGCTATAATTCACAGAGCATACCCTCTTGACATTTTTTTCAAAACTGTTACAGAAGGAGTTAGATATTATGGCTACAATAGTTTAGCAAGTTTAGTTATATATATAATAAAGCCTGCAATTTCCTTCTTTGCTTACACTAAATATACTATTCTATGTCTATCCCTTACATCACACAAATTTCTTTAAAACTTGTTACACTGTTTAAAAAATATAAAGGTACTTACTACTAATTGCCCCCATTAATTACTTTAAAGAGATTAGTAATCATGCACGGGACACCTCATCACACTTTGGAACATCCAGCAATCCCCACCTGTCTCCTACCCATAACTATATCCTTTACTATATTGATGTTGCTATAATGCAGATTAAAAAACAAATCAGTGAACAACACATCACTATCAATAACACTAACATGAATATTGAGCTAACAAAATACAGTTTGAAAGATGGTTTTATCCCACATTTGGATGTTGCTTTACTTAGGAGTATACCTGACCCAGAAAGTTTTCATATAGGAAACCTTACTGATTAGACAGTTAACAATCATACCATGCTTCCACTTGAGTTTTGGCTGGCCTTAAATGATTTAATATGTAAATTTTGTTTTAGCACTTTTAACTATATAAATATAGCAAATTTTAAAGTGTTTTTATTACATTTTTCTTTCTGGTTAGATATTTGATACAATCCGAATATATCAAATAAAGTTTTAGAAACTTTATTTGATACATACGGATTGTATCAAATAAAGTTTTTAAAACTTTATTTGATACAATCCATATTTGGATTTGATCTGTCTGTAATGTATCTGTCATTCTACAATGTGCTCTTGAGGAAAACATTTTTATAAATGTTGAAAATATTACAGCTTTAAATCTATTTTTTCATATATTGAACAACACATCACTATCAATAACACTAACGTGAATATTTTATTACGGGTATTTAACAGTGGGTTATCTTCTAAACAAACTGTACAAAGTACAATCACAATAAAAGAACGCATACAGAAGCATATGTACAAGATGGCTTAGTAAGCTGAGGAAGAAAGCAATAGGCTTTATGAGGTACAATGACATCCAAAGAGGATCAGCAGTGGCAGTAGCATCAGGTCAAATGAGGTGCATTGATCCTTTACAAGCAAGTCTTTATTAGCCATTAAGGGTTGAATATGTATCCTGTGAGTTAATAAAATCACTATATCAATGAGAATCAGGTTGCTGAAATAACAGATATGGAATAACTGCTTATATGGAACCCTATCATCAATATGCACTGGTGTTCTAACTCTCTTGATCAATCATTTTCTATTTCTATTCAAGGTATGGCCTCATCACAGTTCTATGAGTCTATAGTAAGATTTATGACAAGCTCATTCACTATCAACAAAGTGTATCTGGATATTACCAACAGTGCAGCATATAATATTGCAATTGATGGAATCAAAAACATCATTTATAATTATTAAATTTAATTTTAACTGCCATATATAAAATCTCACCAAAATAATTCAAATTTATATTTAATATATTACCTTGAACTTCTAATGTATATGTGAAGTTAATACTTCCTAAAGCATTTGAAACAATGCAGGTATAATTTCCAGCATCAGATGACATTAAATTATCCATTTGCATTGACCATTTCTTGTATGTTACCTAAAAAAAATACACATTATTCTTTAATTAAAATTTGTAATAAATATGAAAAAGTTTAAAAATTATCAGAATACTGCTTTTACGAATCATAGTTTTGTTACAAAATTATTGGCAGTTTATTTAGTTATTTACAGATTTGGCAACATATTCACCTTATTGTTTAACTTTCTAGTCACAGGTCTATTATTTTTTACCCATACTAGCTTAGGTGGAGGATTTCCAGCAGCTTGACATTTCAAGGTAACAGAACTTGCAGCAGGTTTCACTATTAGCTGAATCATTCTTTGATGAACAAAATAAGGAGCTAAAATCAAAATATTACTATGTTTATAAATTTAATTAATAAATTATATTTTCTAGTATTGGACAAAGTAAATAAATATAGTATTTCAAATTTATATACAGTCGACCCCCCCTATAATTACGATTCCTATAAAACTACGAAAAAATATACGTATTTTGGAAATGTTGAGTCGGATTAGTGTAGAATCGATTAATTTTATGGAAGAAAACCTTTCAATCAGCCGTAGTCCGTAAACTTGACACGTGTCGGGCTGTGATTGGAACGACTNTTATACTTTCCCAATAGAAGGAAAGTCTGAAAATACCATTTTTAGCTTGAGTTACTTCCTCTTTTATAGCTGTGTATTTGTAAATTGTTTTCAACACACTTGATATTTTAATTACTTTTAACATTTGTAAAATTAACATTTATTTATATAGCATTAATATATAATTTCAGAGATTATTTAAGATAAAATAAGATATAACAAATAAAATGAATTCTATATAACCTATAAAATGAATTTCAAAGGATGTATATTATGTGTTAGATATGAAATAATTCATTATTTCAAAATGATTTGAATGCCAATAATCATTTTCTAATTCTTCCATTTGAATTTGTTATGAATGATACAAAATTTAGTGTTAATAAAAAATATTTTAAGGAAATTCCACTTTCATCAAGTCTGAGATTCTAGAACAAGTTTTACAATTATAAAAACACAAATATAAATACAGTGGAACCTCAGTATACGTCTGCTTTAGAATACGTCCTGTTTGGACGAAACAAATTTTGCTCGGTAAACGACTTTTGTTCAGTACACGACTTAATTCAATTATACGCGCCATCTATGAACAAGTAGAACTATCGGTGTACTACACTAGACTAGACATTCACGGTGCTACGGTTTATAACTTTGTTAAATTTCTTCTGATTTTAATTTGTAAGTAACATTTTATTTTTATTAATCATGAATTGCAAAAGGGCAACAGAAAAATAAAAAATGACTAGAATCACAATGGAACTGAAAAAAGAGATTGTTGAGAAATATGAAGGTGGCACGCGTGTTCGAGATTTAACGAGATTTAACTGTTGCATTCCGTATTCCGAGAACGACGATATCGACAATCGTGAAAAATAAAGACATTATTAAATTTGCTAACGTTG